ACTTTCAACCAAAAGTAATTAAAGGAGAAGGGGAAGTACACTTCATACTCAATAAAGAAAAAAATCCACCAAGATGACATCTCAGTCTGAACTATTCCCAAATGTAAAGGCATCCACATTCATAAAAGGGATATAACTAAAACTTAAATCACACTTTAAACCCTACACATTAATAATGGAAAACTTCAACAACCCACTGTGACCAACAGACAGGTCATTAAAACAGAAACCAAACAAAAAATAATGAAACTAACAGTGGTTATGAATGAAAAGAACCTAACAGATATCTACCGAATATTTCACCCAAACAAAAAAAGAATATACTCAGTACTTCATGGAACCTTCCCAAAAATTGATCATGTACTTGCTCTCAAACCTAGTCTCTACAGATACAAGAAGATTGAAATAACCCCTTGCATCTTATTAAATCACTATGGATTAAAACTGGACTTGATCAACAACACAAAACACAGAAAGCCTACAAACTCAGGGCAACAAAAACCAAAGCAAGCAAGCAAACAAAGAAAAACCAAAAAACAACAAACAAATAAAACATCTTTGATAAAAATCAGAGATGTTCTAGAATTCTATGAAAATCAAGGTACGACATACCTAAACTTTTGGGATACAATGAAAGCTGTGTTAAGAGGAAAGTCTAAAGCACTAAGTGAAGATTTCTCATAACAAAAACTTAAAAGTGCACCTGAAAACTCTAGAATAAGAACAAACACACTCAAGAGGACTACATGGTATAACACTCAGAACTGAAATCAATCAATTAGAACTAAAGAGAGCAACAAAAATAGCAAGAACACTACATCTTACTTCCAAAGCCTGTACTCTACAAAATTGGAAAATCGAAATGCCATGGATGATTTTCTAGACAGATACCACCCACTTACCAGAGTTAAATCAAGATCAGGTAAACTATGTAAATATTCCTATAACTTGTAAGGAAATAGAAGGATTCATGAAAAATTTCCCAATCAAGAAAAGCACAGGGATAGATTGTTTCAGGCCAGAATTCTGTCAGACATTCAAAGAAGAGCAAATACCAATACTTCTAAATCTATTTGATAAAATAGAAACAGGATGTATATCACCAAACTCACTCATTGTATAAGGACACAGTCACCCTGATACCTAAACCAAACAAAAAACTCAACAAAGAGAATTTCAGACCAACCTCCCTTATGAACATTGATGCAAAACTACTCAATAAAATACTTACAAACCAAATTCAATTGCATATCTAAAACATCATCCACTATGATCATGATCATCCAATGATCAATGCAAGATTGTTTCAATATATGAAAATACGTCAATGTAATCCACCATATATACTAACTGAAAGAAAAAAACTTCATGGCCATATCATTAGATGGTGAATATACCTTTGACAAAAATCCAACACCATGTTAAATTCTTGGAGAGATTATAGATAGAAGTCACATACCTAAACACAACAAATGCAATGTATAGCAACCCAATAACCAACATCAAAGTACATGGAGAGAAACTTAAAGCAATTCCACTAAAATCAGGCTCATGTCAAGGCTGTGAACTCTCTTCCTATCTCTTAAATATATCACTTGAAGTCCAAGCTAGAGCAACCAGACTATTCAAGGAGGTGAAGGGAATACAAATTGGAAAGGAAGATGTCAAAGTATCTCTACTTGCAGATACTACATGATAGTATATATAAGTACCCTAAAAACTACCAAAGAAATTATACAGCTGATAAACACCTTCAAAAAAGTGACAGGATAAAAAATTAACTCAAAATATCAGTAGCCCTCCTTTATTCAAATGATAAACTGGCTGAGAAAGAAATTAGGGAAACAATGTTCTTCATAATAGCCACAAATAATATAAAATATCTTGGTGCAACTCTAACCAAGCAAGTGAAAGATCTGTATGACAAGAACTTCAAGTCCCTGGAGAAAATGAAGAAGACATCAGAAGATGAAAAGATTTCCCATGTTCATGGATAAGTAGGATTAACATAGTGAAAATGGTCATCCTACTAAAAGCAATCTACAGATTCATAAAATTCTCTTCAAAATTCCAACACGATTCCTTATAGACCATTAAAGAACAATTCTCAACTTCACATGGAAAAACAAAAAACAAAACAAAAAACAGGATAGCTAAAACAATCCTATAATACTATAGAAGAACTTCTTGGGGGTATCACCATCACTGATTTCAAGCTGTACTACAGAGAAATAGTAAAATTTCATGATATTGGTATAGAAACAAACAATTTGATCAGTGGAATAGAATCAAAGAACCAGAAATTAACACACACACCTATAGACACTTGACTTTTGATAAAGAAGGCAAAACAATACAAGGGGAAAATAAAGGCATTTTCAACAAATAGTGCTGATCTAATAGAATGTCTACATGTAGAAGAATTTAAATAGATCAATATTTATCGTCTTCAAAAAAATTAAGTCTAAGTATATCAACAATATCAACATAAAGAAGATACACTGAATCTAATAGAAAGTAGGAAATAGCCTTGAATGTTTAGGTTACAGAACACAACTTCCTGAACAGAATGCCAATAGCTCAGGCACCAAAGCCAAAAATTAATAAATGAATCTCATGAACTGAAAAAGCTTTTGTAAGGCAAATGATACTGTCAATAGAACAAAATGGTAGTCTATAGATTGGGAGAAAATCTTCCCCAACCCTACAGAGGGCTAATATTCAAAATATACAAAGAACTCAAGAAGTTAGACACCAAGAATCCAAATAACCCAGTTAAAAATGTGCTACAGAGCTAAACAGAGAATTCTCAACAAAGAAATTTCAAATGGCCAAGAAGTACTAAATGTTCAATTCCTTAGGTATCAGAGAACTGCAAACAAAAACAACCTTGAGATTCAAACATACGCATCAGAATGATAAAGATGAAAAATTCAAGGTCCAGGACATGCTGATGAGGATATGAAGAAAGGGAAACACTTCTCCATAGATGGTGGGGGTACAAACTGGTACGACCACTCAGGGATTCAATCTGGCAGTTTCTCAGAAAGTTGGGAATAGTTCTACATCAAGACCCAACTATATCACTCCTGGAGATATACCCAGAGATGCTCCACCATCCCACAAAGATACCTGCTCAACTGTGTCCATAGCAGTGTTATTTGTAATAGCTAAAAACTGGAAACAATCCAGATGCCTTTCAACTGAAGAATGAATATAGAAAATGTGGTTCATTTTCACAGTAGACTACTACACAGCTATTAAAAACAAGGACAAAATGAGTTTTTAAGGCAAATGGATGGAATTAAAAAAATTCCATTCTGAGAGAGGTAACTCAGATTAAAAGAGTATGCATGGTATATACTCACTTATAAGTGGATAATAGAAGTAAAGTAAAAGATACCCACTATACACTTCATAGAACCAAAGAGGCTAAATAAGAAGCAAACCTCAAGTGAAGATGTTTGAATCTCTTTGGAATAGGGAAAAAATAGTCATGAGTGGATGGAGGGATGGAATTGGTTGGAAGGGGAACTGGGGGTGTTCAGGATCAGATGTGTGGAGTGACAGGAGAGACAGCCAGGGGCCAGGATGATGAATGGAAATTGGTGGCTGGTGGGAGTTGGGAGGTTGGGGCAATCTCTAGTATGTGCCTGAGACCTGGGATGGAGAAGGCTCCCATGAGTCTATGGGAGTGACTTTACCTGAGATTCCTAGTAGTATTAATCTGGAATCTGAAATGTCTATCTTCTGTAGCCAGGTTAAGACCCACAGTGGAGGAATCAGGACAACAATCTACCCGCAAAGCTTTGAACCTTATATTTGGCTTGTCCTCAAGAAATGCAGGGACAAAGAAGGAACAGAGACTGAGGAAATGTCCAACCAATAACTGGCCCAACTTGAGACCCATCCAAAAGGCAAGCACCCATCCCAAGAGCAAGCACCAATCACCGAGACTATTAATTATTCTCTGTTATGCTTTCAGACAGAAGGCTAGTGTAATTGTCCTCTTAGAGACTCCACCCAACAGCTGACTAAAATAGATGCAGAGGCATGCAGCCAAACATTCGGTGGAACTTGAGGTATCTTATGGAAGAATACAGGGAAGAACATAGGGCCCTGAGGGGACTCCACAGGGAGACCAGCAGAATCAACTAACTGGAGTCTTAGAGGCTCAGAGACTGAACCACCAACCAAAGAACACACACAGGCTGGAACTAGGTCCCTGCACAAATGTGGCAGACGTGCATCTTGGTTGGTCTTCATTCAGGCTCCCCACAGGACCTAACCTGTTTCCTGTCTGTGGGTCCTTTCCCCCTAACTGGGCTGGCTTGTCTAGCTTTAGTGGAAGAGAATAGACCTAGCCCTACAGAGACTTGATATATCAGGGCAAGGGGGTCTCCACCCCCTCAGAGGAGAAGTGGAGGGTTATGGAGATTGACTGTGTGAGAGGAGGACCAGGAGAAGGGATAGGAGCAATCAAGATGTAAAGTGAATAAATAAATAAATGACAAAACCCCACAAAATGTATATCAACATATAAATCCTAAATCGAAAGATTTGCCCCTGATTCTCCCCTTCTTTCTTGTTCTCTCTTCTTTACTCTTTTCTCATTTATTCACTATTACACATGAGTGATGAAGCAGACACATATGCACAAACATATATACCAAACAGATAAGACATTAATAAAACAACAGGAAAGGAGTATTTTCAAAGAAATAGTTTATTCATAATCTTATGTTTTTACACACAAGTTAGTTTCCCCACAGAATCTTGGTCTAGTCACTATTATAAGGATTCTGAAGCACTCTGCAAGCTGTCACACATTCCAGCTGGAGATGAGGATTGAGATGGAAATGCTGCTTTTCGTTCATCTTCCTCAGAGTTGAATATAACGTTGGAATTTTGGAAGATATTTAAGAATTCTTGCTATGAACTGATGTGTCTTTCAGTAAGACACCAAGTTATACCCAAGACAGAGCAGATGTTGAAACCCCTCAGTTCAGGCAACAGGACCAGTACCTTCTACAGCACAGTGGACGGCAGCAGCCGTAACCATAGCCACAGCCATAGCCACAGCCTAGGCCACTGTAGCCATAGCCCAGGACTCCATAATATCCTCCATAGTAACACATGTTGTCAGGAGTACACTGTTCAGTTATGGACTGGTAGTAATTTCCTTGAGACTGAGTCTGGGTGTAACAATCTGCTAAGAACCTTTTATACAAAAAGATGTTTGGTAGGGAAGACCACAGGTATTATCACACATCTCTTTACTATGCTTCTGAAAGCACAAGTCATGTGAAATACTGGATATATAGGCTGTATAACTGAAATAATTGTGTTTCTGTGTCACAATTCTATGATGAAGATATCTAGCATAAAATTATTCTTGTTTCTTTTTCAACAGCTTGTCCAGTATTATGTTACTCTATTTGTAGTTTATTGAAGACCTGGTTTACTCATACAGTACAAAATTTTAAAGTAGCATTTTTCTACTTATATTATTTTGTTTCTAATATTCCTGTTACTCCACCAGAAGTTTCTTCCATTTTCCTCCCCTCCTGTTCCCTTCCCTCCCCGTCCCCCTCCCTTCCTTTCCCTCCCCCTCCCTTCCCTCCTATCCCCTCCCCTTCCCTCCCATTTCCTTCTCTTCATTTCTCTTTCCTTTCCCTCCCTCCCTCCTTCCCTCCCTCCCTCCCTCCCTCCCTCCCTCCCTCCCTCCCTCCATCCCTCCTTCCCTCCCTC